AAATCATCAACGCTTTACTAGCTAGCCCACACGCCCACAATCAAGACGCCAGCCTTATACACGTCAACAAACCTGCCGCCATATACATGTCAACAAACCTGCCGCCATCTAATTAGCAGCAAACTAATTAGTCAACAGCTATCCAGTTGGTCCGCTAGCCGACAAGCATCCCGCACGACCGAGAATCAGCAGTTATCCGCAAGTCACTCGCCCAACAAGTAATGAATCAGCAAACATCCGCAACCCGACAGCACTTCAGTTTCTAGCCTCATTGACAATACCAACTAGCAATTAGTACAAGCAGAAGAAAGCCAACCTGCAAAAAAACAAACAGCAACCTACCCAGAAATGGAAATCCCAAAAAACGAATATGAACCCAATATTCTAGCGCCCAGTCATTAGCTGACAAAGATTTGTGCACACCTAATTAAAACAGTGGCCAAAAACAGAGCTGTGTAGGCCTACACTTAATTAACACAGTGGCCAATGAAAGAACTGTTTACGTCTGATTAACATGTTGGCCAAAAACTTAACTGTACATATGAAAGTGACACGGTGGCCGAATACAGATCCCCAACAGACGGAGTGTTGGAATAAAAACCTGCAACCCATATTTACTGAACTGTAACAAGAAAAATTGCACACATGATTGACACAGTGACCCAAAACTTAACTGTAAACATGTCATTGACACAGTGGCCCATAGCATAACTGTAAACATGTCATTGACACAGTGGCCAAAAACTTAACAGTAACCATGTCATTGACACAGTGGCCCAAAGTATAACTGTACACGTCAATGACACAGTGACCCATAGCATAACTGTAAACATGTCATTGACACAGTAACCCAAAGCATAACAGTAAACATTGCATTGACTCAGTAACCCAAAGCATAACTGTAAACATGTCATTGACACAGTGACCCAAAGCATAACTGTGAACATGGCATTGACACAGTGACCCATGGCATAACAGTAAACATGTCATTGACACAATGGCCCAAAGTATAACTGTACACGTCATTGACACAGTGACCCAAAGCATAACTGTAAACATGTCATTGACACAGTGGCCCATAGCATAACAGTACATAACTCATTGACACAGTGGCCTAAAACAGAAATATACAGTCATGAAACAAGAAATAGTCCGCTTCACATGATCTTGATAACTCCCATAGACCATATCTAACTCGACACCTAGATGCTACTATTTAATGTTGCTATTATCGTAAAATTCTAGCTACTACATTTTGATATTTTCTTCGCATCTTATACTAGAGTTTTCAGGAATCTATATCGCAATACAATATGTTAAAACTCCTCAGTTTGCTTACAAATAATATTTTTCTTAAATTTAGCATTCTAGACTTTTAGCACAGTATGACCAATCTAATATACGTTAATTGTCAAATTTGATTAATTCTAATTATGTAACTTTTAAAGAAATAATTAATGTAACTTGGTTTATGACGATGATTAAAAAAACTAGATACGTTATAGGCCTATTTGTTTAATTTTTTAAATTATTTACCCATTGGTCATTGTTATAAACTTTCTCTTATATATATATTTATATATATATATATATATATATATATATATATATATATATATATATATATATATATATATATTAAAAGAAACCGCTTTGCTAGAAATGTTTCTTAAGTTACACACAAACCCACACACATAATATTTTTAAACGGTTATCATGAAATTTGAAAAAAAAAATCTTGCTTGTATAAGGCTTATTCTGGTAACACATGCGAGACAATAAGTTGTTTCAAATTATTTTTTACTATCCAGCACACATAGCTTTAAAAATACAGGGCACCTTTTAAACCAGGGTTGTCATTACAGATATTTATTTATGCTTCACATTCACACAGAAAACATCCGGGTCCCTCTTGTAGACACTGCAGTGGTCAATGCAGGACAATGGCGGGCAGGGGTGGGTGATGGAAGACATTGTGGTCCCCGCGGGCAGGGTGTGGGTGATGGAAGACATTGTGGTCCCCGCGGGCAGGGTGTGGGTGATGGAGGAGATTGTGGTCCCCGCGGGCAGGGTCACCTGCGACACCAGAGCACTTGGGTCGTACTGGCAGACGTAACTGTGTCTTTCGTTTGTCGATGAGATGCCTGGAAGAAACTCCTGTGCAAGATAAGGTCCTACAACACAAATATTAAAGCAGTTTGCTCTTTGGATCAGAGACCTATAGTGTAACAAAATTAAATAACTGGCTAAAAAACTTCCACTAACAAATTGAGATGGCCAGAAAAAAATTTCCAGCGCCCATTTGTGGTAAAGCCAGCAGCCAGAGGCGTAGCGAGGGGGGGGGGGGGCGGGGGGGGGGGGGGGACATACGTCCCCGGGCGCTGACCTCAGGGGGGCGCCAAATTGAAAGTTTGAGGGGGGTGCAAATGAAAAGTTCGAGGGGGGGGGGTGTAAATCGATTGTTTGAGGGGGGGGGGTGCAAAATGAAAAGTTCGAGGGGGGGGGGCAAATCGAAAGTTTGTCCCCGGGCGCCGGGAGGGGTCGCTACGCCTCTGCCAGCAGCCTATAGACAGGGATGTTAAAACCCACAAGCGTGGCTCGATCGATTAAAACGCCTTGGGGTGAACGCGTTGGACTGGAACCCACGGGGCAACAGAAAAGCGGGCAGACCCAGACAATCCTGGTGAAGGACTATTGAAATGGTAGCAGGACCTGCTACCATATATATATATATATATATATATATATATATATATATATATATATATATATATATATATATATATATATATATATATATATATATATATATATATATATATATGTCTACAAGTAGGTAATGTAGGGAAAGGACTAAACAACATCTATGTCACCCCTGAGATCCACCCGAAGTTATAAAATTATATACGAAGGACATTAAGAACAAACAAAAAAAGTGCATTTGAAATACACAAATGCAAAAGATTTATTTTCTTTTGATATGTCTAGCCCAGGGGTCTCCAAACTTTTCAGCCCGAGGGCCGCATTAACTATCAAATATCAGTTCGGGGGCCAGGGTTTCTTTAAGGCATATCTTCGGGGTGGTGGCGCCCCCCCCCCCCCAACAAAATATAATTTATATAGAAATATATAGGCCTACACATTTTAAGTGTCCATCCCCATCTTCCCCCCCCCCCCACGTAGTAAACGGTCTGGAAGAAACACTTTTTGGGGTCGACAACACACTCGAGGTCCAAGTTTGCTCTGTTCTCAAATTATTCTTAACGTATTTCATTCTTGAAAATGTTTGTTCACACAGGTATGTTGTTCCAAAATTTAAAAGGTACTTTGATGTAGAAGTTTTAATATTAGGAAAGTCTTCCTAGGGCAAAAACTTATAAAAACCTTATAAAAACCCACCCGCCCTTCTTTGAACTTGTCTTTAAGGAGGTCATTTGCTTGCAATTCAATGACCTCCCGCTGCAGTTCATCTTTGCAACTGGCCACATTTGCTTCAAATGGGTTTTGAAACAGTCACACTTCGTCTGCCTTTGAATCCAAGTAAGAGAACCGCTACTGAAACTGCAGCTGGAGGTCTTTAATGATCTCGTATGTAAATGACGTGGGGAACTCAGTGGTTTAGCTTCAGCCGTTAAGACCTTGCACTGCTGAAAGTGTGTCAAGTTGTTCACTCTTCATTAGACAATAATGACTGTGGCTTGCCTTTACTTTCAGAAAGTCACCCATTTTTTTTCTTAATTTAAATATTCTGCTCAGAACTTTCTCGCAAAATGAGCCATTTTACTGATGTGAAATATGATCAATCTTTCGATCTATGGTAAGATTATATTCTCTCCGGTAACAGTGTCATACATTCTATGTAGGGAAGCCAGCTCTTGGGTTATGTTCATGTCTTCATCCACACCGCAAATGAACACAAGAAGTTGAGGCGGAACAACTGTCAAGCGACTCATCCATTGCAAATGAAAAATGGCTAAGCTTGCTTGCATTTTTCGCTATTTGAGTTACGATGTTTTCACCAATGTCTGCAACATGGCGGGCAATGGTATTTACACCCTAAGCTACATTCTCAAATTGTTTTGAATTTCCTGTGCAAAGTTCCTCAGCCACCTCTTAAAACATTTATTCAGTGGACAAAAAGATCGTCGCGGGCCGGATGAAATGACCTCGCGGGCCGCATCCGGCCCGCGGGCCGTAGTTTGGAGACCCCTGGGCTAGCCTATATTCACCCCCCCCCCCCCCCCCCCCCCCGAGATCTGCCAATGGTTATGGTTAATGAAACTTTATCACATATGGTAGGTTAAGGGTGGTTGTTGCTTTCTTACAAATGGATGTGGAAAAGGCATGATTATTATATTTTAAAACTATAAATTTAATTAGAATTTAATTAAATAGGCCTACTATTTTAACGGAGTATAATAAAGTGCCAGATCTATGAACGGATTCCTACGGTTTTGTTCGGCGCTTTGCGACTAATTATAATCTGAATCGAAATTGGTATTGAATTCTATCAATCATTGCTGAAAGTAATTTTAAAATTTATGTTTATTTTTTTAAATCTTTTAAAATAAGTGCAGGAAAAATCTTTGTTAACTTAATGCTTTATGGATGAAAATTTTTCTCAGCTTGAATAAAATTAAGGCCAAGGGGAGGTGTCATGGCTGATCATCGAAGTCGGATGTAAACAAACCTTTCCATTTGCTCATTATGGAGATCAACAAGACCCAGAAAGTAAGTTGATTTGTAGCACTCTTGTTAAGCGACCGATGTTTAAATTCGACTGATAACAATCACCTAGTTTAAATGTTCATTTTTACAAAGTTTTGATGTTAATAAACTTCGTTTGCTTGTTAAAGAACCAGAACATGAAAAAGAAAACGAAAGTTGATTTTCTTACGCCTCGGAATAGTTTGTGACAGTTTTCGCCCGCACATAATCTTATGCTAAATAAGTTGTCATTTATGTTAATATCTTCTCAATAAAAACAAGACGTTTCTTACACTCTTGAGACATGGTGCTACCTTCCGGCGCCATGCTCGTTGAAATGAAGGTAAGTAATCAATGAGATCTAGATCTAGATCTAGATTCGAGATCTAGATTCTAGTCTAGCCTCAATGAACGAGTGTCAACGCCAACGAGTCTATGACTTGAGACTTGAGACTTTAATGAATAAGCTGCAACCACGAATACTAGATCTATCTAGAATTTCTAGCTTAACTCTAGATGTTTAGAATAGACTAGGTAAAAATGATATCCAACAAAAGGAAATTAATTAGGGCATGAGTAGGGTATTGGGCATTGGGCATTAAAGTATCAGGCATCATTATCTTTTATTCTTATGATAGTACTTAGATAGTAGGCTAGCCGCTATACTATAGGCCTATACTAGTATACTCTGTCCAATAGACCAATACTGTACATGTTTATGCGCAAGTGCAGGTTCTCAGTTCTCATCCCTTTATACTTTATTATACTTGATCTGCATGTAACATGAAGCAAACTACAAAGAACATGTTTGTTTTTTGTATTGCTTAATTTTTAGATTAACAAATCTAACCGCTTGCTGGAAAATAGGCTTACAGTTTATAGTTATAGTAATAAAGTCGTTTTAAAAAAAAACAATCGATTGTTTGGCTGAGTAGGCCTACTCAGTGAGTACTGATCAGTTCAGAGTTGAGTCTGACCAAATGCATTTCAATATTATTAAAGTTCGTGGGCCTATATTACTATTATTACTATTAACTAATTTAAGCTGTTTTCTGTTGATAGTGTATAGGTTCAGGATGACAGAGATAAATATATTTTGTTAGACTAACTGTGTATTTTAGCAATAATTATTATATCATATGGATTTTACATATTTATTAGGCCTTGGAGCTATATAGCACATTTGTAGTGATATAGAGGTATCAGGCTTTTGGGAAAAAGGTTTGGAAATAAAGCATTACTGATGGTGATTAAAAAATGTGTGGGTATGGCTAATTGATAGAAAGACAGGTATTTTTTTTTACTTAGTTTATGTTTGGCCATTGGGTCAACCAGAAAAAAGCATTTGAAAATAATGGCTATATAGTGTTGAAGTAAAATACTCATTAATGTTCTACTTTAACTACCCCAGGTTGACCTGTGGGTCACCCAGAAAGAAAACTAAACACATCAGTTCTCAACTCAAACAGAAGTCCTTTGTTTTTACTCTTTTGAACCTATTAGTTAAAATCCTTTAGAACTTTTTTAAAACAACAGGACAATATATTATTTTTAAAATTAGACATTCCATGTCAGGTTCACATACAATCATATGTTTTATTTATATGTTTTGAAGAGAAATACATCATTTATCTAATTGTTTCATCATCCGCTACAACTAAATTAAGAAATTTTTTCCTCAAGTAAACAAGAAATTGTTTAACAATATTGCTCCATTAATAAATGTAACCATCAAACTAAATTAAGCTTTTTTTTATTTCAGTAGACCTTTATTTCAACGAGAGAATCATTTTTATTTCCATAATAGTCCAACAAAAAACCTGATCTCAAATATTATTATTTGGCTGATGTAATTTAATCATCTATTTAAAAAAAAACATCTAAACTGATTAACCAATGTCTCAAATTTCTGTATATTAATTTTATTATGCGTTCTATTTCTTCACTTTTTTCCTATTTATTAAAGTAATTTGCAAATTATAGGTCAAACTTCTTTTTTGGAAATATTTTGTTATATTGCCAGTAGACCATGTCCTACTAGACAAGTGTTACTAGTAATGGGTTGGGTTGAGGTTTATCCTTCTAATCTTAGATTAGATTCATCTATCAATCAACACAATAATCTGAACATGCTATTGAGTTAACATTTTCAGTTCTTATTAAATTTTCTTTGACAACCTATGCCAATATCAAGGGCACTTTGTTCCCATCAACTAAGGAAGATTATCATTAGACTCTAAATCTCCCAACAAAAATAATGTTAGTGTCAGAGATGTGTCAGGAGGGGGAGAATTGGAGTTATACCACAAAAAATAATGTTGCTGTTTTATGGTACAATTAGAATTAAAAATTTGCTATAGGTGGGGATTTTAGTAGCACATCACACATTGTCAGTCTGCTTTCTATAACCTGTAGTAAGACTTGAAAGGTCTTGATTGTATGGTAAAGATCTGTAGTTTTGCATTATTACTATCATTTTTGATGCGTGTTAATGTTGGGGAAGGTGAAATAATAAACCGGGAGTGATCTCCCCTAAACTTTCTCGAATATTCTTATATAAAATAACGGGATGGGAACTCGGGCTCAGAGTTTCTTCCAGGCATCTCTTCGGGGGGGCAAAGCCCCCCCGAAAATTTTTTACCGCCCCCCCGAACGAAATGAAATTTATATAATTTATATAGAAAATATATACTTTTAACAGTGTCCGCCCCCCCGAAGAAAGTTTACCGCCCCCCCGAAAATTTCAAGTGCCCCCCCGGAGAAAAAAGTCTGGAAGAAACACTGCTCGGGCTATAGACATGATTTTTAATCCATTTTAAATACTTTAAGTTTTAAAAATAGAATAAAATCTCGTAGACAAATTAATTGCACACCAAGTGAACGCCAAATAAAAACGCGCATAATAGTGCGCAATATTATTAGTACTTTTAAAATTTACATTAGTTTTTTGAGAAATCGGAAGTAGCGTAAAGTACTACTTCCAGTCAACGGAAATTACTCAAAATTTAACAGAAGGTAGAGAATTAGATCTTTTACTTACATGTGAAATTTCTTTTATCTATCTGAAATAGTACTCAAGTTATAGGCTTTTGAAAAATTCAAAGTAGGAAAAGTACCACTACCGGTTATCGGAAATCGCTCAAAAGTTGATACGGATCTACGATTTTGATAAAATACTTATATATGAAATTTCATCAACCTAGCTGTAACGGTACTCAAGTTATCGTGTTTACACACGGACAGACACACAGACATACGGACAAGATTGCAAAATTATGTTTCCGTATCAGTGAGGTGTAAAACGTCGAGATTTGTAAAAATCTTGATTTTTTTTTGCACGATTACAAGACTTTCTCTATACTTCGTATATACGAGAAAGTAAAAAGTAGACACCATTTTTAGTATCAGAGAGCCTAATTATGAAACCCTTTAATTATTCACTAGACTGTTGATACTTTATAATGTTATTGATAAGCATGGTTGATTTAAGTAGTTTGAATTATGTTTGCTGTTAGATCAGGTTTACTATGTTATAATCAGTAAGTATCTATAGCACACAGTATAAACTATTTTATATTTTAACCTAGTGATTACTCTGGATTTGTTGATGCATGTTAAATTATTGAGTGATTATATGATCTGAGTCTATTCGAAAGTTAAAAAAAACAATTATGGGTTTTAATTTGATTAAAATAATAATATACCATGTGTTTTTGTATGCACGTATATATTTAAAATAAACCGGGAGTGATCTCCCCTAAACTTTCTCGAATATTCTTATATAAAACAACAGGGGATGGGAACTCGGGCTATTGACATGATTTTTAATCCATTTTAAATACTTAAAGTTTTAAAAATAGAATAAAATCTCGTAGACAAAATAATTGCACGCCAAGTGAACTAGTGAACGCCAAATAAAAAAGTGCACAATAGTGCGCAATATTATTAGTACTTTAAAAATTTACATTAGTTTTTTGAGAAATCGGAAGTAACGTAAATTACTACTTCTGGTCAACGGAAATTACTCAAAATTTAACAGAAGGTAGAGAATTAGATCTTTTACTTACATGTGAAATTTCATTTATCTATCTGAAATAGTACTCAAGTTATAGGCTTTTGAAAAATTCAAAGTAGGAAAAGTACCACTTCCGGTTATCGGAAATCGCTCAAAAGTTGATACGGATCTACGATTTTGATAAAATACTTATATATGAAATTTCATCAACCTAGCTATAACGGTACTCAAGTAATCGTGTTTACACACGGACACACACACAGACACACAGACATACGGACAGAATTGCAAAGCCCAGTTTTTCAGACTGGATTACGCATAAAACCTCTTAATTTTGATAAATCTGGATTGATAATTTTTGCCCGATTAAAATAAGTCCTCTATACTTCGGATGTGATGAAGGACTGAGGTGTAATACGGTGAAAATTGTTAAAATTTGAAGTGATTTTTTTGCACGATTACAATACTTTCTCTATACTTCGTATATACGAGAAAGTAAAAAAACGTTTCCTCGTATCACGGGGAAATAACACATTTGAGCTTCTCTTGTTGGGTTTTATTTGAGTTGCGCACCTTGGCTCAAAATTTTCTAAAGGGAAAATAGATTAGGATTTAAAGAGGCCAACATGCACACGAAAATTGTGTTTCATTTATTTCTGATTTCTGACAACACTTTTTAGTTTCAAGCATTGACATTATTTTATTATACTATTATTCATTAGCATGTATCTGCTATTAAATTTATTTAGAATATAGAATTTGTCCTTGTTAAAAGCGACGTGATTGACATAATTGGTCTCGCGACACGAAAACCTAGGATTGGCGGTGATACTGAATGCTAATTAGTGAGCTCATTTAGAGTTGTTCTTTGTTATTAGAAAACTAGTTAATGAGGCCATTAAGGACCACTATCTGTTATTAGGAAACTAACTAGGGAATACGTAGAGACCTATTCCCTGTTAGAAAAACAAATTCTTTAGACTCTGAAGAAGAGCGTGATACATTTTCGTCAACTCAGACCAGACGGCCATTGTTGGTCACCCTGAGCTTTTCAACCTTGTTTCTTTCAGGTATTTCTTTAGCATGTCTATCGACCCCCCCCCCCCCCCCCCCCCGCCCTGTACGAAATTGAATTTACATAGAAAATATATACCGGAGAAAAAAGTCTGAAAGAAACACTGTTCTCAAGCTTAACAATATTTAAGAATTAGATTGATTTGATTTAGTCAATAGGACAATTTAACATGGGGATCGGGACTTGGTAGAGCTAGGTAGCATCATTGATGTTATGGCTTTATACTGACACCAGTGGATTGG